CATGTTGGGTGTTGTTGGCTCAAGTTTGAAAATGGTCAAATTTGAGCCAACAACACCCAACATGTCGCAACACATCGCAACACGGTGGCCAAACGCATGCAGCATGTTGCGCCCAACAGTGTTGCGATATGTTGTGTTGACATGTTGCGTTCGTTTGGCCGGGCCTTTACATTCGTTAAACTAGAAGTCTGATCACAAATAAGCTTAATATAAGCATAGAATAATATAAAGGAATACATGTTTTCAGATAGTTGTCTGAAGCCCATATTCACAGTAAAGACAGTAAATAATGTGACCTCTCACGCGAACACGTTCCTAACGGTTAACCGTTCTTAAACCGATAGCCGTTCGGAATCGTTCATTAGCCGTTCGAATGGGCTGAGATACCGTTCGAACGGCCCGAGCTATCCGTTCAAAAGCATTGACATCCGTTCGAACGGCTCGAGCTATCCGTTTGAAAAACATTGTCATCCGTTCGAACGGCCGGGCTATTCATTTAGAAAACTGTGCCATCCGTTCGAACGGCTTGAGCTATCTGTTTAGAAGCATAAAATGTCATCCGTTAACAAAATTGGTTCAGCGTTCTAACGAACAACTTGCCAAACGTCACGAACTTTGTAAACATGAGCTGTTTACATTTAATATCTCCTGAATGGTGACGGGCTTTTTTTTTTTTTTTTTTTTTTCGGGTTTTTTAAATTTTTTTATTTTCCTACTGTGGAAAAACCGGTCTGACATATTTCCCTGAACAACGAGTTTCAACTAAGGCAAAATATTTATTACCTGTGTGCAAAATTCTTACTGATTGCAACAAGTGAACATTCACGGTAAGCTTGTTTCGTTCATGTCATATAACATGGAAAACCACCGTATGTTTTCCTTTGAGCTCGCGTTGAGCTTTCACGTCACCCAAAGCGAGCGCACGGTCGCACAACTATATGTGTAGGCAGCTACCTTAAAATAATGAAACAATCGATTTAAGATAACATGAATTTTTCTGTAGAATACTATCTCAAAATTTCTTTAGCTATTTGGCATGGGAATAGGAAAATTATATATATATTTTCTTAGTTTATTAATATCTACTGGTATTACTTTCATGGATTGTGGTGTAGACTACAGCCTTAAATTGATTGTGTTGCAACAAGTTTATGCGTCACACTAGCCACCTATAAGTTACTAACGTTTCTTTCTTTTTTCTTAAACAAAAACGGCGCAGAATTTACTGAAGCCGATCAAGAGTATTCTTCATACTGAATGTAAAATGTGTTTTTTGCCCTTTTGGTTAATTAACATATATTGTTTATTGTGTTGCAACAAGTTTGTACGTCACAGAAGTAAGTTACCTACGTTCCTATTTTTCTTAAATGAAGCACACCCATTAATATATAGATTTAGGCCAGCCTAAAAGCGTAGCTCCTGGCCCGGGTTGTTCAAAGCCCGATTAAGCTAACNTTTTTCTGCTCCTTAGTCATCTTTGCTTTTATAACATCCGATTATCGCTACGCAGTATTTTTATTCAAGGCTCAAGTGTTATTCAACAAGTTTTTCCGAAACTGCTTTGATCGCAGACAGTATACAAATATCAAGGCTCCCTCTTTTTTTTTGAGGTTTAAAAGACGATATCTCCGGTGGGAATACGCTGTGGCAAACGCAGACATATTTACGGCTGTGCAGAAGAGGTTTTCACGGCCATCGTCTTCATTCACCACTTCCCTTTTCCCGGGAAAAAAATCTTTTGACTTTTGAAATGGAACTTCACAGCGGCTTAACAAAGTTGTACCTTTCGCACGGCCGCTTTGACACTCACAAGTTATGTTATTGTAATGCGGTGTAAGCTTTAAGGCGGTGTTTGTCTTTGACTATGCGCTGTAAATTTCTTTCAAGATTCACTGTAAAATACGCGGCTAATTCTAAGCATGGTTGGCTTGTTACTGTAAAGAGATTTTATATGATCTGATATCAAGTACACGTTATTCACGTGATGATATTTATTTGTAGGTAATTGATTAAAACACACACAAGCGATTTGATACTCACGCCTTTCTGAAAAATACGTGACACAACTTGAAGCGTGATTTGACTCGTGCAGAAATAACTCACAAGTTGAAAGGCTGTTAATATCATAATTAGCGTGGCCTGAATTCAATGCTAAAGTAACACCAAGAATGGGTGAAACTCTGCCTTCAGTGGCAGAATATTTTGATGTTTCAATCCTGTGTTCACTTAACTTTACGTACGTTGTAGCAAAATGAACACGACCGACAAATTAGCGCCCGCTTCTTTGCTTACTCAAATTAGGCAAAAATATATTTTGCCCACACTCAAGGAAACGAGAATTACTGGCACTTCGTAGACATTTTCGTTACTATAACTAGCGCTTTTAGTTTAAAAGATACATATAGTGAGAAAGCGTCACCTACTCCGTACGGCAGCGTTTTGACGAGCGAGGTGTTAATAAAGTTATTCCAGGAGTTATTATTTACATAGAGGATATTACGCGGTAGCGAGAAGATATGAATTTTATGTTCGAGTGACAAGAAACTGCGTTGATAAACATGGCAATAAAACGCATGTTAAAAAACAAAGTTCATTTACTTGACGTTTCGTATGCTTCAACATACATCTTCAGAAGTGACCGTTAGGAATAGAAATAACAACTAAATTTCCATTTAAAATAAGTAACTAATTAACAGTAACAATGACAAAAGCTGAGAAAAATTTGCATATAAACAGAACGTAACATGTCGATCAAAGTCGATCATCGAAAACGTAGTCGATAAGTTGATAGTACTCGATACTTGTCGATAATTGTCAATCGACAAATTGAGTTTGTCGATAAAAGTCGATAATCACAAGGTTTCAACTGATTATCGATTTTATCGACAAAAATGCAGACAAATGTTTCAATCAGCAACAAAATTCAAGTAACCAAACCAATAGTAGCTCCAATGACTTTTTATGCCGAGTGTAAACAACTCTAAAGTAAATCTGTATGACAATAAACTTAAATGAAAACCTGAACAACCAAGTGGTCTNAAAATCGATGTCCAGTTTTTGTCGAGTTCCATATCATGATCTCGAGTAGATTCCATCAAGCATATAATGAAATATCTGTCATTTAAACTTGAATAATTAATTAGCTGCCACAGCTCAACTCTGAGACGTACAAGCAAACTCAGACAACCACTGTGGTAAAACAGGCGGTAAAAAAGAGGAGGGATGGAACTCCTCCCCTGGATTTTCGTTGTAATGAGACATAATTATGTTAATTATTTTGCTTTTAGCTTGCTCTGCAAAGTGACATATTTTTGATATGATGGCATTAAGACCGCATCTTGGATTTCACTATTTTCTGGGATTAATCATCCAAAATGATACTAAAATCTAAAATTGTACTAGTCTTGTGAATGTTGCCCGAACAAGCTGGTAAAAACGAAGAATTCTGTCCGAAAAGGCGAAGTTTCTTGTTTTCTTTCTTACTATGGAAATATCAAATGACATGGAGGCAGTTGACATGTCAAAATCTCGGCGAGGGTTGAAAAGACAGCTTCTTCTCTTAGTTCTGAAAAAATCTTAGGGACTTATACGTTCGAGAGTTAAACTGCAGCCTACCTGCAAATTTTGAGCGGAAGCCTGAACGTTCCGAGGCTTCAAACCACTCCTTCTAAATAAATGCATGGAAAAAAAATACTTTTGCAGCAGAAGGGACGTTTAGAATATTCCAGTCATCAAGCATTAATGCTGATGTTAATATTCGCAATGTTTATATTCAGAGTAGGTTCCGAGAATTCAGTGCTGTTTACAAAGCGAGAGGAAATTAAATTCAACACTACCGAACAAAAATCCATCTAGTGGAAAGTACTGGAGGATTTGCACTCCAGACCACTACTGGCTGCCTCAGTAGTTCTTGCATGGAACAAATTAAGAGTGCAAAGCGAATAAAGCGAGAATCTGAATTACTTCATGTAAGCTCCCTTCATTTATGACTCCTTCGTTTTGATAATGAGGCGCCGCATTTCCCGTCTCTTCAGAAGCTTGTGTGATCTAAAATGTAAAAAAAAGTAGTGGAGAGTTTTATGGTTTTTGAGGCGTTCTGTTATGGACGAGTCTTTACTCTCACAATGCCTCTCTCCACTTAAAAGTATGGTGGCTACTAACAATTTATATCAGTTGGGGCAGCCTTACAAAGACCTATGACCGGGATGTAGGGGTACCTTGCTGCGGGCGACAATCTGGGGG